TGTTTGTTTTCTCACTTTTATTAATGAGGTGAAATTCACATAACATAAAATTCGTCATTTTAACGTGAACAGCTCAGTGCATTTAATGCATACACAGTGTTGTATAAACACCAACTGTATCTGGTTCTAGAACATGTTCTATAGAATTATTTTGTCATGTTGCTAAAGAGCAGAATACATATATTTTCTTCTGTAATGTCAGTTACTGGGTTAAATGAGTAGTAACAGAGTAGTATGAAATGAACACTTTCAGAAAATTAACAGTTATAATTGTTGTTAGTACTCATCCAGTCAGTTGTGACTCATAGCCACCCTATGCACAACAGAAGGAAACACCGACCAGTCTCATGGTATCATCACAGTTGATGATACATTTGAGTCCATTGTTTTTACGAATGTCAACACATCTCTTTGGGGGTCTTCGTCTTTTTAGCTGTTCCTCCATTTTCCCAAGCATGATGTTCTTCTCCAGGGACTGGCACATCTTGGAAACCTGATTAGTCCATGAGTGACACTGTCACTTCATTTTGGGTTCTAAGGAATATCCTGGCTGCAGTACTTCTGAGAAGATTTGTTTGTTCTTCTGGCAGTCTATAGTACTTTTTTTTTTTTAAGTTTTTATTGTGAATTGAGTGATAGTTTACATGGGAAGACATCAGTTTTACACTCATCGTTTCATTGCAATGATTACAATCTCCTCTGTGCATCATCATTCAACAATATTTGTTGAATGATTTTTGGGGGATGTACACAAAAGCACTCAGGAATATATAATAATTTAAACAACCAAAGGGCACATTCTGCAAGCCTGCCTCCTGGCCACCAGCACCTGATTGCCAGCACACAGCCTTTCTCTTTCCAGGAGTCTAGAGGTTTTAGCTGTTCTATCTCTCTATGGGCCCATTTCTACCTCCATCTCTGGTGTCATTGCTTCTCTGGAGAGGGTCCCACATTCCACTTGTGCTCTTCTCCCTTGATGGTTCTAGGGTCCTCTGTTCCTGGACTGTACATTTAACTACTCCCCATTTTTTGCTACAAAACTTCTATCTTTACAGCTGTGACAGTCACAGTTAGTCATGATAACAATTATTCACTATTGAACCACAAGAATCATATTCCTATCTCCTTTCACCAGAGCTATCTAGACAAGATGAAAAAGTATTCAGTGGGGATTCTACCTCCCTGCAACACTGTTAAACTAAACTCCCTCTTGAAAACTTGTATGCCAGTCACTTCTTGCCTTTATAGCCCCCCCCCCCCCATTTAAGGTTGTTGTTGTTGTTAAGTGTCGTCGAGTTGATTCCGACCCATAGCGACCCTGTATAGGGTTTCCAAGGAGCAGCTGGTGAGCTTGAACCACTGACTTTGCAGTTCAAACAACTTTGCAGTCTGACTCATTAGCCCACAATGCCATACCAGGACTCCCCATTTAAGGTAGCCAATGTTTAAGTTGTCCATCCTTATCAACCCTGTATACAGAGGGGATAGGATTGATACTTGATGTGAAGACTCCTTCCTTCTTAGTTGGTATTTAGAGCTACTACATCCATAAGTGTAGATCAAGTTCATCAAATTGTAGCAATTTACATTTGTTTTCTGTATCAAAAATTGTTTGTTTTTAAAATCTTCCTCTAGTCGAGGTCTGATCTTCAAGCCATCGAAGCTAGGTTGAATGAATACTACCTACAAGTTTGGGCGTTCTTGTTCTCATTTCATATCAGCTGGACGCTTTGCTCTCAGCTCTAGCTTTTCATAGTTATGTCCTTGCCCATGGGCTCGGGAGTCCCCAGGTCTCACCACACTTCAGACCAACCAGCCCTTCCTCTTCTCTCTCTTCTCTCCAGATTGACGGGAGTCTATGGACTATGGTTGAACTCGGCCCATATCTTCATTGCTGCCTTTCTCCCTCTTCCACTCACCAGTAGACCAACGTGGTCGCTGGCAAGCTTACATGCCTGCTCCTGTGTTCCCTTTGAGTTTCAGTCTTAGAGGGGGAGTTGTCCTGAAGGGACTTGATTACTTGCCTTGATGGCTCCCTGTGGGAACAACTTGCTTATTCTTGTAGTAGCCAATCTGACTGTCGTTTTTGTTTTTGACTTCTTGCTAGTCTTTCTTTCAAGAAGTATCTTCTGTTTCTCTAGCTGCTCCAGGCTGGTCTGCTTGTCCTTTCAAGTGGGAATGTCCCACCTCAGAAGGTTCTGTCACATAGAAAGTAGTTAAAAAACCCTGACCTGTGTTCACAGGATTACCCCAAGAAGATACTTTTACCACCCACACTTCAAAGAGGAGGAAGTAAGGCCCAGAGAAGTTAAGGAACTTGACTGGAATTTATATCATTAGGAAGTGGCAGAAAATGGAATTAGAATTCAGGTTCCAACCAAACCAGTTGCCATGATGTCTACTTAGATAAGTGGTAAGTCCCTGTGTGTCAGAGTAGAACTGTTCTCCATAAACGGACTTTTCAGAACTGGATTGCCAGGTCTTTCTTCCAAGGTACCTCTGTGAGGACTCAAACTCCTACCTTAAACCTAGATCCCTGATCTACCAAGTATCCTGTTTCTTGGAAGACAACATGTTTGCATTTTCATTTTGACCAGTCCCAAGGTAGTAATGGAGTCCTGGTGTGGTGCCGTAGGATAAGTGCTGGGACTTGAGGTTGGTTTGAAGTTCAAGGTCAATGGTTCAAACTCACCAGCTGCTCCAGTAAAACCCTATACATGATTGCCATGAGTCTGAACAACTCGACAGCACTTGACAACAACAAAGGTGGTAGTACTAGATTAAATAAGAGATGAGAAGCATACATCAGTGACTGTAAGTCCCCAATTGTGCTAAGAGATCATGTAAAGAGTTAACTCTATAATGCAAGTATCAGACTGCAACCACAGAGAAGAATGTGTTGTTGACACTCCATTGGAATGGGCTGAGTACAATGCTCTGATTGTTATTTGTTGTTGATAAGTGCCATTGAGTAGGTTACAGCTCATAGAGATCATGTTCAGGGTGAGCTTGAACCATCGACTCCAAGGAGTGGCAGGTGAGTTTGAACTATCAACCTTTTAGTGCAAACCTACCTTGTGGTCAAGTGCTTATCTTACAGTGCCACACCAGGACTGCTCTGATAGTCTTCTATATTTTCTGGAGTTGTTCATTTGACTTGATTTTTTTTTTTTTTTCCAAGCTAATCCTCGGAAACCCTGTACAGGGTTGCTATGGGTCGGAACCGACTCGACGGCACTTAACAACAACAACACAACAATTCCTAAATGGATGTTTTAATTTGGGTGTCAGGAGTGAAGTTCCTAGTCAAACATATTATTTATCCCAGATTAAAAAAATATATTCTCTAAATCTATATTCCCAGGATTAGACAGAAAACTAGACTAAATTCTAAGAGTTACAAGACCCATGATCAGAGTTGTCAGAAGTGAAAAACAAGGAAAGAGTAAACTTACTGAATGTGCATGGTTAGATTCAACTGGAGGATGAGGAGAGCAAGGAGGGAAAGATAGATGGAGAGCTTTTAAAATTTGTGATCCATTGTATCACAGTGACAGAGTGGATTTAATAATAATAAAAAATCCTTCAAGCTCAAGGACAAAAAGACAAACAATCCAATTTAAAAATGGGCAAAGGACCTGAATTTCTCTAAAGAAGATATATAAATGGTCAATAAACACATGAAAAGATTGTCAGATAGTAGACATCATTGTTGTTAACTACCGTGGAGTTGGTTCCGACTCATAGAGACCCTGCACAGGGTTTCCAAGACTGTAAATCTTTATGGGAGCAGAAAGCCTCATCTTCTTCCCGTGGAACAGCTGGTAGTTTTGAACTGCCGACCTTGAGGTTAGCAGCCTGTAACAACTACGCTACCAGAGCTCCTTAGTAGACATCATTAGTCATTTGTTATTGTTGTTAAGCGCTGTGGAGTGAGTTCCAACTCATAGTGACCCTTATAAAGTTTCCAGTAAGCAGCGTGTGGGTTTAAAACACCAACCAGTACTTATTCTATGGCGTCACACCAGGTGAATGAAAATAAAAACCCCACGAGATACTTCACATCCGCTGTTGTTGTTGTTATGTGTCATGAAGTCATTTCCAACTCATAGCGACCCTGTACAGGGTTTCTGAGGCTGTAAATCTTTATGGAAAGCAGAAAGCCTCATCTTTCTCCTGCGGAACAGCTGATAGTTTCGAACTGCTGACCTTGAGGTTTGCAGCCCGATTCGTAACCACTTTGATACCAGAGCTCCTTTCACACCTACTAGGGAATGGCTATTATAAGAAAAATAGAAAATAGTCAGTGTTGGCTAGAGGATGTAGAGAAATTGGAACAATCATGCATTACCGGTGGGGAAACTATGTGGCAACGTCTTAACAAGTTTTGCGCAGTCAGTGCACTACATTGAGCTCTATAGAGACAGCGCCCGGACAGGCAGAGCCAGATGGCACTGGACAGACTCTGCCTCGAGGATGGAAAAAAAAAGAAAAGAAAAAAACAACTAAACATGGGCAAGAGAGATCTTAAGAAACCAAGCAGCAAAATGTCATCTTATGCATTTTTGTGTAAACTGCCGGGAGGAGCACAAAAAGAAGCACATGGAAGCTTCAGTTAACTTCTCAGAATTTTCCAGTAAAGTACTCACTGTGGTGGAAGATCGTGTCTGCTAAAAAGAAAGGAAAATTTGAATACATGACAAAGGTGGTCAAAGCCCATTTTGAAAAAGAAATGAAAAGGTAATATCCTGCCTAAAGAGGAGGCAAAAAAAGAAGTTCAAGGATACCAATGTACTCCAGAGGCCGCTCGGCCTTCTTGTTTTATTAGGAGTATCGCCCCCAAATCAAAGGCTAGCATCCCATCTATCCATTGGTGATGCTGCAAAGAAACTGGGGGAGATGTGGAATAATACTGCTGCTGACGACAAGCAGCCTTATGAGACGAGGTCGTTAAATTGAAGGAGAAATAAGAAAAGGATATCGCTGCCTACCGTCTAAAGGAAAAAAGGGAGTCTGAGAAAAGCAAGAAAAAGAAGGTAGAAGATGAAGATGAAGATGAGGACGACGAAGAGGATGAAGATGAGGAAGATGATGACGAATAAATTGGTTCTAGAGCAATTTTTTCCCCCTTGTGGAGCTGTGGGTTAATGCACTGGACTGCAAAGTTAGTTTGAACCCCCAAGGTCGGCAGTTTAAGCTCACCACCCGCTCCTGGAAAACCTATGCAGGATTGCTATGGGTCAGAATCGACTTGACTGCACTTAGTAGCAACAACAAATAAAACATTAACACAACTCACTCCTTTTAAAGAAAAAAAAAATCGAAATGTAAAGAAAAAAAAAGTTAACACAAAATTATCATATGGTCCGGCAATTCCTCTCCTAGGTATGTACCCCAAATACCCCAAAACAGAAATTCAAACACGTATTTGCACAACAGTATTGCAGCACTATTTATAATGGCCAAAAAGTAGAAACAACTCCAATTCCTATCAACAGAGGACTGTTATATATACATAATACAATTCAATATAAAGAGAAATGAAGTTCTGATGCATACTACGACACGGATGAACCCTTAAAACACTACACTAACCAAAATAAGTCAGTGACAAAAATCAAATTTTGTATGTCACTTATGTGAACTATATAAAATACATAAATGTTTCTGTCCCTATAGAAACCATAGTTTATCAGTGGTTTATCACCAGGCACTGGTAATGAAGGCTTGGGCTTGGGAGTTAGTGCTTAAAGGGTAATGAGTCTTTCATTGTTGTTGTTGTTAAATGCCATTGAGTTGATTCCAACTCTTAGTGACCCTGCATAGGTTTCCAAGGGTGGGTTTGAACTTCTGACCTGGAGGTTTACCATCCAGTTAACTCTATTATCTATAACTATAATCTATCTACCTATCTATGGAGTCCTGGTGTGGCATTATGGGTTAATGCTCCAGACTGCAAAGCCCTTTGACCTGCAAGGTCCGTGGTTCAAATTTACCAGAAGTTCCGCAGAAACACTATGGGTTGGAACTGACTTCATGGCACTTAACAACAACATATACATTTACTACAATATTTTTTTTAAATGTATTCTTCTTGATGAATTATATGAAAGTAAAGAAGGAAATGCTTCATCAAAATGACATTACCTTGGAAAATATACTGTGATTTACAAGCAGGAGCAAAGCAGGCTGTGTTTATAAAGAGCATTGTATGTGGAAAGTCTGAGCACAAGACAAAATGTGTGCTGGAAAAAAATACAAAAAGATTGTTGGTCACATCCCAGGTAGAAGCAAATTGTCCTTTGTGATAGACTGCACTTGTTCAGATGATTACCTAAATATTCTTTTCTTGATTTCCAACACTTTCCTAGAATAATTTCTTTTCCTCCACCTTCTTCCTTTTTTCCTCAAGAGGGCACCAACACCCTATCCCTAGAAAGGGTGTTAGGATGTGTAAGTTTCACACTATATGCTAAAAACATTCTTTACAGGAAAGAATCTGGTTATAGAGCAATAAACCAATAACGAGACTTCCTAGTTTAGTTTCAAATATCTTTAAAAACAAATTGCATTTTGTTTAAACCCAGACTGATTATTAAACAAAAAAATCTGGTGTATTTGGAAGTGGAACGCTGTGAGACTGTGTTCATGGTCTCTCCAAACTGGAGAGACAATTGTGCATTCAGAATCACAGGCTATGTTTCTTAAGTCTTGGTGGGAGTATGAAAAGCAAGAGAGACCTTACATTGAGCATAGGGCTGGTATACAAATCAGCAAGAACATATTAGCTATAAACAGTCTTTGTTAAAACCCAGGCAACAGACATGTTTCAGGTATGTTAAAGAAGGGTTCACATTTCTGTGTTGAATACATAGCACTTTTATTTTGGACAATGAAGATTATATACAAAAGAGACACATCACCACTGTTTACTTACTGAGCTTTTTCAACATTTGCTTTCATATGTGGTAATCGGGCTCATTTCCACTAACTGATAACATTAAATCTATGCCTGGGTGGTAAAAACCATAAATAGCATGAACATCATACCATATTTCCTGTACTTATTTGAATGTTTTGTAGCATTGTTGCCTATAGTTGTTTTGTTTTTTAAGTTGTGAGTTAATGGCCACATAGTAGGAGTCAATATTTATATAATGGCTATTTGCTGTAATCAAATATAATACGTTGTTCTTGTTAAGTGCTGTTGAGTTGGTTTTAACTCATAGTGACCCTACATAGGGTTTCCAAGGCATGGCGGCCAACCTTGTGGTTTGCAGTCCAGTATTTATCCAGCAGCCCACACCAGGACTCCAAATATAGAATAATTTGAGTCTAACATTTAATGATATACATAGTTGTTAGGGTGCTGTGCTATTAGGCATAAATGGTAAAGAGTTTGCATAAGTAACACTATTTTTATCCAGTAGAGCCAAAAACTAGTATTTCACTCCTCATATAAAATCACTAACAATGTTGATTGACAGTTTTCTCTAAAAGAACACTTTTATTCACTATCTCTTTCTTTCCTCTTCTGTTCCTTCTTTTTGTTGTTGTTGTTTATCATGGTAACAACTGCTGTCATAATTACTACCATCATCATTTTCCCTCCACACTGACATATTCTGACATCCATATACCTGGAAGAACAAGGCTATGGAGCTGGCTCCCAACAATGAAGACTCCTTGGTCCCAGATTCCTCATCCTCCTATGGCCCAGAGTGATGCCCTCAGGGCTTCAGTTTGTCTACTAGTATCTAACCCCTGGATCCCCGAACCCGATTCTTTCTCCTTTTTTCAGGGATCTTTGGTCTGCCACCTGTTGTTACTCCCCATCTTAACTGCCTTGTTTGATTCCATTTCTCTAGCACCAAGCATAGAGCCTGGTATGGCTTGATAAGTAGTTATGAAAAGAATAATACTCTAGAAGCAAACTTTCCAGAGAGCTTGAAGTTGCAGTAGCCCCAGAATCGGACACTGTGGATTCCTTGAGGAGGGAAGTTGATAATAGCACTGAATTGAAAAGGTGAACTTAGGCCAATGATGAAGCCATAGGAGTATGGAGAAGACATTGCGGGAACACCGAACACCTGGGATCCTTAGACTAGAGGATTGAAAGGAAAACAATTGACTTCAAAGAGAGGCAAAGTCAGGGTTGTTGGAACACAATTCTCTAGTCTGGAGTTACACTCAGAGGAGATGGGAAGGGTGCTGTGGGGGAAAAGAGTGAGACAAAGATCTAAATCCAGCCATTCTTTTCTAACTCTTTCATTTCCTAGCCTGGTTATTTTCCCATCAAGAAAACTCTCTACTAATTTGTTACCTTTAATGAGACAGAAAACAAAATATGATTTGGATAAATAAGGCAGAAGTACATATGCTAATATCGGCTCCTTTGTTTTTTTGCCTGGAAAATAGGAAAGATAGAGATGGAAAGCAAGAAAGTATGTGGGATGTTTAGGAGTGATTGTTGTTAAGTGCCATCAAGTCGGTTCTGACTCATAGCGACCCTGCATAGAGTTTCTGAGGAGTGGCTGGTGAGTTTGAACCACTGACCTTATGATTCAAACGACCTTGAGGTCCAGTGTTTATCTTATAGCACCACACTTAGGAGAGACAGTAGACCCCTAATGGAAGAGAAAGAATGAAGAGGAAGCTGTGGCCTCAAAGTTGTGCAGATAATCTGGCCTATTTATCTCTATCACTACAGAGACATGCATAGAAGTGCTTCATATTTAGAGCAGTGGGTTGCTCTACATCTCAGCAGGTGTTTCCTGTGAAAAGGGTCTTACCAATAATTATTGCCAAATAATATGCAGAGAGCAGCAGTACTCGTGGGTGAGGCATGAATATCACAGAATGATTGGCATATTTATTTAAGGATCTTGTATGGGCTTTGAGGCCACATATATTGAGGAATGTTGGTCATCACAAAAGACATCGCAAATAACTATGTACAGTGATGAAAAGAAAATCCAAATATGTCATATTTTAAGACCAGAGCAATCATTTTAGTCACTTGGAGGTCTGCACAGGGGTATAGATAATCGCAGAGTTCGTTTCAGCTACCTTGCATAATCTCAGACAATATCCTGAAATTCCTCCTGACCCAACCTTCAAGTCAAACATTGTGAAAACAGAGACCTAAAACGATTGCTTGCCCAAAAGTCACACAGATGAGCCAAATGCTCTTTACACTCCATTGTGATACAAAAATTTCCCAGCCACCTTTACTCAAATTTAGCTGTGGTACTATAGGATAAGCATTGGACCACAAGGATGCAGTTCAAACATACCAGCTGTCCTCGGAAACCCTATCCAGGGTCACTATGGGTCAGAACCTACTTGACAGAACTTAATATCAACAACATTTTGGGCTAGATGTTGCTCTGGTTACTGAGTCATTATTTGAGGATCTGATCCAAAGACACATAGTGCATTACTGAGTATCACAAGCACAAGTTTTGTAAGCACTCTTGGTTTTTGCATTATTCTAAGCGCAAACTAATATTTTCTACAGGTCTTTCTGCCCTCAAGTAAGATTCTTTTTAAAAAAA